CTGCCTGCAGAAGCGCCCTTGTTTACCTATTGGCCAACTGCTGCCAAAGTTCAGGGGCCGCTCCAGGCCTTCCTGTGCCCCAGATTCCACCTGGACTGCAGTGCTGTTGTGGCTAGGGGGAGGAAGAAACACACACACGGCACCAGCTCCATCCCAAAGAGCACATTTTCCTTGGAGGACATCTCGGGGTATGTTGAATTCGTGTTTCCTTGTTCTGAAGAAATCCCCTTGCTGGCAGGGCCACTGGGGCTCCAGCCTGGCTGGCTCCTGTCAGTGGAGACCAGGCAGCTTTGGGAAGCTACAAGTAGGCAGGCAGCAGGGTGTGATGGCTGCAGGGTGCCCACAGTTTATCCTCAGCAGCTGGAATTCTCAGGAAACGGAACTAGCGAGCCATTGTGGCTAACAGTCCTTGATAGATCAGTTCTCTGTCATTTGCCTAATTTTTCATATCGGTTCAGCATTCAATTCCTGTACTGTTCTATAACAAAATGTTATTTGCAGCTCCTGAGGAAAGGAAATACCTTTGCAAAATGTGTTAGGCTTATTAAAGTGTTTTCTGGGACCAGCAGCTTATTGGATTAAATCAGCTACAAAATGAGGAAGGGAAAGAGTTAGTGAAGCCTAATAACATCTTATATAACGGATCCCTTTCCTTTTCAATGGTTTTTCATTTTCTAACAATGGCAGCTTAATGCTGAATCATAGAATAATAGAATCACAGAACAGTAGAGTTGGAAGGGGCCAGAGGGCCGTTGACGCCACTGTTCAGGACAGACCATGTTGAGCTAGGGGGACAAGTGGCCCAAGTCTGTGGCAGGCAGCTTCCGACATCTCTGGGGAACCCAGGAGCAGGGTTTGAATGCCATGGTGCTCCCTGTACTCAGCCATTGCTATTTAGTGATAGATATACTGCTATTGAACATGCAGGTTTTACCTAGGTGAATTACTGCTGTGAACAGCAACATATTCTGTTGATAAAGTATTTTTGTACTTTAATAATATATTTGCTTATGCCTCTCCTGAGCCTTCTGAAAATCAGGTGGTTTTAATACTTTGTTAAAGAGAGGGAAACATAATTTTCTCTTTCCATCATGTTGATGATCCCATGAGCATTGATCATGTTTTGCTCAAGTGCCCCGCCTCTCATCACTTGTCCAACCATTTTGCAAACTCACCCACTGTGTTGTGCTGTGCAGCACTGCATTCCTCAGCTGCACATGCACTGCACAAAGGAATACTTGACCTTTCCTAGACCTGAAAGTATCTGCCTCTCATCTTCCTTTTACTGAGGTACCTGGATTTTAGTCTACTGATACTACTTGGTGTTCACAATCTTTGATGAACCTTTTGGTCAGTCTGATAGAAACAGATGCCACACTGAAGAACATTCCGAGTTCAGCTAATGTCTGCTTAACAAAGAGAAGCTGGCCAGGAAAAGGAGCAGCAGATTAGTCCGTGTGCCGCTAGGTATGCATGGCTGTGCACGCAAGTGGTGGTTGACGGTGATTTACACTGCTGTCCTCTGCACTTCTGCTCAGAATTAAGTCCCATCGGCAGGTCTTACTCCCAGGGAAGTGAACAGGTTGCAGCCACAGTTACTGCTAGGATAATTTCCTTAGACATCCCACAGGTGATTTGCACTTAAAATAAGTGGAGAGGAGCAGTGGCCCAGGTCCTGCCACGTGTGGATCCCACCCCCTGGTGTCCTGCACTGCCCTGTTGGATTAGGTGAGGTAGGAGCAGTGCTCTCCATCCCCCAATGGGCAGCCACATGGCTTTGGGAAAACTACAAGTCATCCATTCCACCCCTTCCTTTCTTTCTTCCTAACACCTGGTATTCTGAGATAGAGGCAGTTGTATTTACCTGTCCTCATTTCTTCTTTTTCCAAAGAACTGCGTGTGGACCCATAAGTACTCAAAGCAGCACAAGAGGAAGGCTTCATCAGGCTTGGGAGAACCACTCAAATGACTTTAGCAGGGGAATCCCTCTAGGGGGAAAACAGCCCAATGTAGACTAATCAGCCACAGTGGCCACAGACTAGGGGCAGGGGATGATGACCTAAAAGCCATGTAGGAGGACGGAAAGTGGAAGAGAGCATCCAGCTATTTGACTGGAGTGCCTGAGCCTGCGAGTGTTCTTACTTGGTTCCCTTGTCTTGGCTCTCAGGCCTTGGTGGAGCTGTCATTCATGAAATCACCCAGTTGTTATATAAGCCCATCTCACCCAGCATTTCCATCCATGGCCTCAAGAGGTACCTGGGAAGTCCACAAGCATGACACTGATGGTTGCCTTACTTGCTTTTGCCCAGTGGACGACCCTCTCTGTGGAAGTCCTGTTGAACTGCCTGATGTAATAGGTCACACCGTTCTCTTTTCTGGCCAAGGACTCCATCTTTGGGGAGCAAATGGGCTCCTGAAGTTTGAAACATGCTAAAGTGGGGCTGAAGGAGACTTGGGGCTACATTTTATGCTTGTAGTGAGATTTTTCATTTGGAGGGAAGAAAGCTGCTGGATAACTTAACATCTAACCTGGATAATTGTTTGTGACCAGAAGGTGTCAGAAACCTTGTGGATGTTCTGTGAGGTAAGAAGGCAGGTGCGTGTCTCCTGAGGATGGTCTCTTAGACGAAGAAGGCTTGGAGGGATCTTGGTTGTGTTGTATGCAGACTGATGCTGGGCTCAAGAGGACTCTCAGGAAGCAGCCCAATGACCCAGCTGGTCCAAGAGCTGCTAGCCAGGGGTCACTTTTCCAGCAGCCGAAGGCAAGCAGGTTTTTATGACCACTGACTTGCCCCAGTGAGAGCTGCCTTGAGCACTCTTTCCCTTTGTTAGAAAGGCAGGGTACAAGGCAAACAACCCCATACATACATCAGGCCCACACAGAGTGCACTGCAGTAATCTGTGCTGTTACCAGGGCATGGGTGACCGTCTTAAGGCCATGTCCGTTCAGGTAGGGGCGTAGTTGGGAAATTCGGTGCAGTTGTAAGAAGGCACCCCGGATACCGAGTCCACCTGTGCTTCCAAGCATAGACCCGGGTCCAGAAGCACCCCCAAACTACAAACTCTCTCCCTGAGAGAGAGTGCCACCCCATCAAGGACGGAGGAATGCCCCTCCATCCTGTCAAGCAAACCCCATACTAGCAGCACCTCCGTTTTGCCTGGATTGAGTTTCAGCTTATTGGCCCTCACACAGTCCATTATCAAGTCCAGGCATCGTCATAGGACAGAGACAGCCTCACCTGCATCAGATGGAAATGAGAGGTAGAGCTGGGTATTGTCAGCATACTACTGAGACTTCAACCCAAACCTCCTGATGGCCTCTCCTTGTGGTTTCATGTATATGTTAAAAAGCATGGAGGACTGGACAGATCCCTGTGGAATGACATGGCACAAAGGCCATGCGGCAGAGCTGCTGCCCCCCAGCACCCCTCTCTGGACATGGTTGGCCAGGTAAGAGTGGAACCACTGTAACACAGTGCCTCCAATTCCCACCCCAGCCAACCTGTCCAGGATACCATGGTTAATGGAGTCAAAAGGAGAAGGAAAATCAACAGGGTCATACTCTCCATGTCTCTCTCCCTGCAAAGGTCATCTATCAGGGAAACCAAAGTCATCTCTGTGCCAAACTGAGGCCTGGAACCCAATTGAAATGGATCTAGAAAATCTGTTTCATCCAAGAGCACCTGAAGCTCCCCAGCCACCACCTGCTCCAGCACATTGCCCCAAAACAGGAGGTTCATGATGGATCAGTAATTTGGAACTGTTCCTGGGTCCAGGTTTGGCCTTTTAACGAGTGGTCTAATTATTGCCTCCAGACAGGCAGGGACCACTGGCTCTCTCAATGAGGCATTGACAGCCTGCATTGGTGGATGGGTGGAATCCCATCCACCAATCTTCCAACCAGCCGTGATGGGAAAGGGTCTGGTGGGCAAGTGGTAAAAGGAACAGAGCCAAGCAACTTGTCCACATCCTCAGATCACAATAACTGAAATTCATAACATGAACTGAAAATGCTGTACTGGGCACATCCAAAGATCCTGCTACAAAGGTGGAGTCAACCTCTTGACAGATCTGAGCAATTTTTTCCTTCAAAGTATGCTGCAAAGTCATCAGAGCAAGCTGCTGTAGGCTCTGGGGTCTCATATGGCAATTCATGTTGCAAGAGGACCACTCAAAATAATTTCATAGAATCATAGAATAGTAGACTTCAAAGGGTCCAACCCCCTCCTGTTGCAGGACACCAAGTTATACCATCCCACTCAGAGGGCTGCCCAGTTTCTTCTTGAATGCCTCCAGTGTGGGAGAGCCCCCCACCTCTCCAGGCAGCTGATTCCACTGTCGTACTGCTCTGACAGTGAGGAAGCTTTTCCTGATCTCTAGCCTGAACCTGAGTTGTTGAATTGATTATTCCGTGTCTTACACTCTGGCATCTGCAAGAAGAGATCTTGACCTTCCTCTTTGTGACAGCCTTTGAGGTACTTAGAGACAAAATTGCAAAGAACCTACTTTTACATTTAGGTTTACAAGTTACATTTTACACTTCATCCTCTGCAGTTTCAAAAGTGATTACAGTACAGTGAACAGCACTTGAATATATTAGAGGACCTTGTATACATTTAAAAAAAACATGTTTAATGTAATCTGGAGAGTTTCTGCGTAATTTAACTTACCTGGAAGAAACAACAAGAGTAATTTTTATTTGATCTCCTGAGGAGGGGAGCTGAAACACAAAGAATCTCTGAGGAGTGAGGACGAGTTCTCTGGTGTGTCGGGTGGGGTCTCTGGTCTGCATGGGACTTTGGGCATGGCTGGACTTGATTCTGTGAGCTCTTCTGTGGAGTTTGCACACATGTGTGCCTGCATAAGAGGGAGTGAGGTGGGGTGACCTTTCTGGTTTGCGGCTTTATTGTAAGAGTTGGTGTCTCACTCTTCATAAACACCTGACAGCAGATAATGAGGCCTAAGCATGGGGTTGCTGACTATTTTTCCCTTGTCTGCAGATGCTTCAGCTGCGTTTTTCAAAGAGCAGGGTGGCCCTCTTGGCCCTCAAGCGGCTCTTGATCTGTCCGGCCGCCACCCAGAGCACCCAGCGTGTGGAATACAAGCCCATCCGAAAGGTTATGGTGGCAAACAGAGGTGAGGAGGTGTAGGAGGTGGGATGGGGGTTTGGGCTCTTTGCACCACAATTCTTGGACTGAGCTATTCTCACTTCTTCCAAAACTCAGAGGAGACTGGAGAAGTGCCATCAACTTGGCCACAAAATCTCTTGCTGGAAACACAGCCCCTTTATAATTCAGGGTCAAGTTACTGTGCATGCCTTGTCATCAATGAGAGGTGTGCTTTGTACATGCTCAGAGGTATGCTTACTGTCTATACTGCAGAGCTGTGCCAAACACTTCACAGTGGTTCTAGGTACGGACCCTTGTGAGTAATAACAATGCATAGAAATGAGTAAAAGAGCCTTACAAGAGGCATTCCTTTCCATGTGAGAAGAAAGGGAGCCTACCTCTTTTTAGATTGTGAATGTTTTTTGCGCTTCTCATACTGGTACTAAAAATATCAGAAATATCTTAAATAATCTGACACATTGGGACACCTTTTCTTAGCTGTCTCTGTGCCTCACACAGATGGGCTCTGTGCCTGCATGGAAATTTTTCTGGGAAGATTTACCAGTTAAGAGTGTTTGCAGGAACTCCTCTCTTATGCCAGCATCTAGTATAAAAGCGAGGTGTTCCCACCAATCCCTTCAGTTTTTTTCAACAGCATTTGGCGCCTCTTCAAGTCCTTTCTCTCCCTTATGAGTCTAGGCTGTTTTTTCTTCTCTTTACTGCTAAAAAATCATAGTGTCTTTCTGTATACGCATATTCTCTTTCACATGCTTTCCTTCTTCCTCTAAACCAGTGGTCCTCAACCATCTTAAATCAAAATGTAACAAAATAATTAACCTACTGATTTAGATCAAAAGTAAAAATTCAGAGATCAGTGAAGAAATTTTAATTTGAACGTGGTCCATTTTGGAACAATATTTTACTGTGGAATCCTTTTCTCTAGCTGCACTTGCTTACCTAGTCAGTGTGATTTTTGTAGCTGTCTTCTGCTGACCCCACTTCATGGATCACTGCCTTGCCATGGCGAAGGGGCTTGCCTAGCACAATGAAGCTATGAGCTATGCCTTGCAGGGCTCCCAAGATCGTCAGGTCATAGCAGAGAGCTCTGACAAAAGATGATCCACTGGAGAAGGAAATGGCAACCCACTCCAGTGTCTTTGCCATGAAAACCCCATGGACAGTACCAAAAGGCAAAAAGATATGATGCCAGAAGATGAGCCCCTCAGGTGGGAAGGTGTCCAATGTGCTATTGGGGAAGAGCGGAGGGCTAGTACTAGTAGCACCAGAAAGAATGAAGTGACTGGGTCAAAGCCGAAAGGACAATCAGTTGCAGATGTGGTGGTGAAAGGAAAGTCCGATACTGCAAAGATCTATACTCCATAGGAACCTGGAATGTAAGATCTATGAATCAAGGTAAGCTGGATGTGATCAAACATGAGATGACAAGAATGAACATCAACATCTTAGGAATCAGTGAACTAAAATGGACAGGAATGGGTGAATTTAATTCAGGTGACCATCATATATACTACTGCAGGAAAGAATCCCTCAGAAGAAATGGAGTAGCCATCATAGTCAATAAAAGAGTAGGAAAAGCAGTACTGGGATACAGTCTCCAAAATGACAGAAGGATCTCAGTTTGAATGCAAGGCAAACCATTCAGTATCACAGTAGTCCAAGTCTATGCCCCAACCAGTGGTGCTGAAGAGGCTGAAGTTGACCAGTTCTATGAAGGCCTATAACACCTTCTAGAATTAACACCAAAAATGATGTCTGTATCATCATGGGGAATTGGAATGCTAAAGTAGGAAGCCAAAAGATAATCGAATAACAGGCAAGTTTGGCCTTGGAGTACAAAATGAAGCAGGGCAAAGGCTGGCAGAATTTTCTCAAGAAAACACGCTGCTCATAGCAAACACTCTTTTCCAACAACCCAAGAGAAGACTCTTCACATGAACATCACCAGACAGTCAACACAGAAATCAGATTGATTACGTGCTCTGCAGCCAAAGATGGAGATGCTCTATAGAGTCAGTAAAACCAGGACCAGGAGCTGACTGTGTCTCAGATCATGAGCTTCTTGTGGCAAAATTCAGGCTTAAATTGAAGAAAGTAGGGACAAGCACTAGGCCACTCAGGTATGACCTGAATCAGGGGTCTCAAACTCAACTTACCTGGGGGCCGCTGGAAGTAGAATCTGGGTGAGGCTGGGCCGCATCAAGTATTCCACCACCGCGGTGGTGGTGGGCCGCTCGTCCTGCAGCCGGCCCGTGCGCTGCCAGCTCTTTGAAGGCCGCAGGGCCCCTCCCCCGTGCCCCACCCGTCTAGGCAATTGGCCCGCGGGCCGCGAGTTCGAGACCCCTGACCTACATCATATCCCTGATGAATAGACAATGGAGGTGACTAATAGATTTAAGGAATTAGATCTGATTGACAGAGTGCCTGATAAACTATGGAGCAAAGTTTGCAACATTGTACAGGAGGTAGGAACTAAAACCATTTCAGAGAAAAAGAAATGCAAGAAAGCAAAATGGCTGTCTGAGGAAGCTTTACAAATAGCTGAGGAAAGAAGGGAAGCAAAAGGCAAGGGAGAAAGAGAAAGATACAAACAAATGAATGCAGAATTCCAGAGAATAGCTAGAAGAGATAAGAATGCTTTCTTAAGTGAACAGTGCAGAGAAACGGAGGAAATCAATAGAATGGGAAAGACTAGAGATCTCTTCAAGAAAACTGGAGATATGAAGAGAATGTTTCGTGGAAAGGTGAGCATGATAAAGGACCAAAATGGCAGGGACCTAATAGAGGCAGAAATGATTAAGAAGAGGTGGCAAGATTACACAGAAGAACTATACAAGAAAGAGTCCCTGATACCAATGATGGGGTGGTCGCTGACCTCGAGCCAGACATCCTGGAATGTGAAGTTAAATGAGCAACAACAAAACTAGTGGAGGTGACAGTATTCCAGTTGAGCTATTCAAAATCCTAAAAGACAATGTAAAATCCTAAAAGACTCCTCTATTTCTCTGCACTCAATATGCCAGCAAATTTGGAAAACTCAGTAGTGGCCACAGGATTGGAAAAAGTCAGTTTACATTTCAATTCCGAAGAAGTGCAAAGCCAGAGAATGTTCAAGCTACCATACCATTGTACTCATATCGCATGCTAGAAAAGTTTGTCTCAAAATCCTACAAGCTAGGGACCAGCAGTATGTGGACCGAGAACTATGTGGGTGATCATCGTCGAGGACTCCCTGCTGAGGGGCACTGCGGCGGCAGTGTGCCACCCTGACCTTGAGGCAAGGGAGGTCTGTTGCCTGCTGGGCACACGCATCCGGCATGTGAAGAATAGAGTGGAGCGTCTTGTTCGCTCCGGGGGTCACCAGCCGCTCCTGGTGATCCATGTGGGCACAAACGATGTAGCCAGGCAGGGTGTCACCAGGGACTTTGAGGCCTGGGGGAAGAAACTCAGGGAGCTAAAGGCCCAAGTGACCTTCTCATTGATCTTACTGGTCCGTGGATTTGGGCCAGGCAGGGACAGGAGTGTCTCCGAGGTGAATGACTGGCTTAGGGTGTGGTGCCAGAAGGGTTCCTTAACCATGGCACTCAGTTTCTTGCCAATGGACTTCTGGCAAGGGACAGGTTGCACCTCACGAGGATGGGGAAAAGATCCTTTGGAGATGCTCTAGCGAGCTTCGTCCAGAAGACTTTAAACTGAGCCAGGGGTGGGTGGGTTCAGACCCCCAAGAAACATGTCTGCACTGGACAAGTGTGGGGATAGGATCAGGGCTCTGGAAGCAGGGTTTTAGAGGTACTGCAGGGGCTGACAGGACTCCTACAGAGAGGGGCCAGGGAGGATGGGAGGAAGGAGGAGGCTGGAAACTCCAAGGAAAGGAAGCGGTGGGAAGGAGTTGAGGTGCATGTACACCAATGCTAGAAACATGGGTAATCAGCAGGAAGAGCTTGAAGCTCTCCTGGGAATAGGAGGGTATGACCTGGTGGGGATCACGGAAACGTGGTGGGATGAAAGGCAAGACTGGAATGTAAACAGAGAGGTGTATCACCTTTTTAGAAACATAGAAGCATAGAAACAGAGCGAGTCAGAAGGAGCCTACCAGGCCATCTAGTCTGACCCCCAGCTCCAGCCGGCTCCGCTCACGACATGCTCACCTTTTAGAAAGGATGGGAAGGGAAAGAGGGACGGGGCATAGCTTTATATGTCAGGGAAGGGATAGGATGTAGTGAGATAGAATGGAGCACAGATGGGGATTTGGTAGAGGCAGTCTGGGTGAAACTTAGAGGTTTTGACAGGGAAAGAGATCTGACAGTGGGGGTATGTTATCGCCCTCCAGGTCAACTTGAGACCCTGGATGATGTCCTGACAGACCAGATTCTAAGGATATCTCAGGGGAGAGACACAGTAATTATGGGAGA